GAGGTCTGTGTGCCCCGTGATGGTGTGTCTTGTCTGAGGTCTGTGTGCCCCGTGATGGTGTGTCTTGTCAGAGGTCTGTCTGCCCCGTGATGGTCTACTATATTTTATATTCTTCTGAAAATGTAATATTCAGACAAAACAAACAAGCAAAACAATGACAATAATTTGTATGTTTCTTGAACCACTTGAACTGTTTGCAGTTACATTAATTATCATTACATATGCAAATTAATGAAATATAGCACAGTCAATCGAAATAGATTGAAATTGCAGTCTTAACCCCCCTGCTCTGTCTCTCAGGAATTTGAGTGGGACCTCAAGGGCAAACCTTTGGACCCAGGCTCAGAGCTCCATGTGGTGGTCAAGGATCGCGAGAAAATGGGCAGAAACAGGTTTGTCTTACGGGCTTTGGGACATATTCCCATCTGAGTATGTATGAAACACAGGGGGATGTTACTGTTTCAGGAAAGGGGTGAATCGGGGGAACTTTCTCATCTACTCCCATGTTACTCGTTGTATAGAGCATATTTGCCAAGTATGTTTGAGAAGCTCCTGATCTCATGATTTTGGGCTTAAAGAGCAAAATGATTCAGGCTTGTTTTCATGTTACTTTTCACATAAAGCAAACAGTTGGTCAGATTACATGAGGCACATATTAATTTCCCATATATTTTGCTCATTTCACAGGAAGGGTTATGATTTTTCTATGAATGTGTACATATTAATGAAAGTGGATATTAAGAGATGTTAAGAGAATTGGAGGACATATATGTGCCTATTAATGCTCTTCAATGAATTCTGTGCCCTTATTGGGAAAACAGTTGTGGAAAAATGTGGTATGTGGCTTTTGCAGAATGCTGTTGTGGGTTAAGCACTGTGAAATTAAATAAAACATTGTGATTCTTCATTCCGATAAAGTTAATTACTCCAGGAAAGAAGGTAAGAAAGTCTCTGTTGTGGAATGGATACTGAATATAAAAACCAGAATGAATCATGATGCACAGCTGGGAGTTTTTGCTTTTGTTAAAACTATTTTTGAATTCTTCAAAATATTCCAAAATATTCACAATTCTTATAATTTTACAAGGTAATCTAGAAGTGTTGCAGGTACAGGTAATTCCCAGGTAAATGAGATCCGTTCCATAAGTCTGGCTTTAATTAGAATTTGTCGGTAAGTCTCTACATAATAAATAATAATAATAATAATAATAATAATAATAATAATAATAAAAGCAAAAGTAACTACATACGGTACTGTATTGAACCTTGAGCTGACGACCCCTGAAGCCGCATTTTTATGAGTGTCACAAAGTAGTGCTTGCGTTCGTTATTATGAACATTTGTATCCCCCCCCTCCCCCAAATTTTTTATATGATAAATAATGCCTTTCTGGAGGCAACTTTAGCTTTAAGGACCATAGAAGTAGGGAAACCCATTATCTCATTTGAGCATCACGTAATGGAAAAAATAGGAGCCAGACTAAATATGATCCTGTAATTAAACTTAAATTTAGAATGAGTTATTAGATTGATGCTAATGCAAGATATGCTTATACAGTAAGTTGGAAATGTTAAGTTTGAAGTGTTTAAAGATATTTATAAGGTACAATCTCATACTTTTCTTGTTATTCTTATCACTGTGCTCTTTACATTAAGCAGCATTTGTTTGTGACCACACCGATTTCTGTATTCTCGTTATAGCTTAACACATTCACCTAAGGTCCACTACAGGCTTAAATCCACCATGCAACAAGCCATGGAGTGCAGTTAGCCTTTGCATTCATTTATTTGCATCTCTCTCTCCTTGGTGGGACTGGCAACAGATCTCAACTTTAAAACCGAATATAAGGCTTATACTCATGCGTGAGGCAGCACTTGCCAGCCTGCATATGAATACTTCCTGCTACTCTGACTGCTAAACAGAACCACAAGAACAACATGATACACAGAGAGGCTCCTTCAGCCTCCATAAATAAAAAACTGGAAGAGGGAGAGTGAGAGAGAAAAACGTGAATGTGCCAGTTTGGAAGACAGACTTCTGCTTCACTATTAATCAATGTTTTATATGTTCCTATGGAGATCTACAATCCAAATGTTGAGCTGGGGGTTACAGCACGGTTAGGAATCCAGGCAAAATGTCACACTGGACAAAGCATCTGTACTGTATGTTCCATCTCTTTGTGTTTTGTCCAACTTGGTCTGTCTCACTCTGCGTTAGTCAGCACCTCGTACCTGTTAACTCTCTGAGTTCATCAGTCCTGTTCTGAACTAGCTTGCGCATTTGAAGTGTCTATTGGATGCAGGGGTTACGCTAGGGTTTTTTAGGTGGCGGTATAAGAGGGGGCATAATTCATACATGGGGGGCAACTTTATCATTAGCCAATGATATCTTTTGAATCAGTGCGTGAGAAGGGAGGAGACACTTTGGCAGCCAATCAGCTTTCAGCTGGGCCCAGTTCCTCTGATTCACCTCTCCTATATATGCTCTTGATAGGTTTATGATAATTATACATATCAGGATTATTGTTTTTCTGTGTCTTTGTTTGCATTTGCCTGGGCCTTGTGAGAGGTGCTCTCCTGCAAAGTGAGTGAGCGGTCAGATCTTAGCCCTGCGTCCCTCTACTCCAGTCCTGACCACGTCATGCTCCTGCCTGTTTCCCCAAACAGATTCCTGGGGGAGACCTGGGTGGCTCTGCGGGAAATCCTCAGCTCCCCAAATCTGGCAGACTCCTTTACTGTCTCTTTGCAGGATGCCAAGAGGAACAACACTGGGGTGAGTCCCCGTCTGGGTCACATGACAACTCTGATCATGCTATTGAATTCTAGAAACAGTCACCAAATGAAGTCTTAGTCTAGGCCTATAAGATACACAGTTGATGGCTCTTCCACACTCTGGCCTTAACTAGCTGGGCACACAAACAAAGGCACAATTCACAGATTGTTAACCCACATATAAGGGAACATTCCCAGAACGTTAGCTAACGTCATGTGAAGGTCCTCTCAAAGTAACATTTGTACTGTAATATTAATGGAACATTATTTCCACATGTTATAGTGTAACAAAGGTTCTGTTAGTGTTACCACAATAACATTATTGCCTGAACTTCCTTTTAATGTAATTAATGTAGAAAAAGTTTGTTTATAATAAAATTAATGTTTTATAAAAATGCTGTATATTTGTATACTGTGAAAACACCAGCCAGGCCCTAAACCCATGACCTTAGAGGTACAATGCCACAGTGCTACCTGTTCCTCTATCATGCCCATAATTTGTTTATGTATTATTATTCTAGTAGCAATAGCAGTAGTAGTTGTAGTAGTGTGATTACATTCTGGAAAGATCAGGAAGACTGGACACTTTGAACACTTCTATACTGTACCTTCATCGCAACATTCAGTAAACATAAGGGAAATTATAACTTATGCACTGCGCTATAGAATCTTCTGGAAATATTTTTTGCGGTGTTCCTGTTTGTGGCTAATAATGCATAATTTTATAAAAATGTTGATGGTTTTGCACATTTAAGCCTTATTTGCACAGGCTTCATGCATTGAACATCAATCACAGAGACATCAGGTGATTAACACTGTTTAGTCGATTTGTATGCCAGGGCGTCAGTGGACCAGGGCTCATTTTTGCCTGGTGTGAGATATTTTATGAATATTAAATACTAGTTTGTTTGATAGTTGTTCCATTCAGTAAAACGGCCTCTTCCTGCCAGTGACTGAGAAAACAATCTCTGGCACGCCGTCCCACCACCTTTACGGCTTACACAAGAGCCCTGGTGTAAACACCTCATTCTTCAATGGCAATCGTGGAACTATGAGGCTCTCTTCCTGTTCCTTCTCTGAGAACAAGCCTGTTTTTGGGGCTGTCCCATGGTTTCCTTGAATTGTTCCCCAGACACTGGGTATCAGCTGGGCAGGAGGTGGGTGGGTTAGGTGCCAATGCAAAGCTTGTTCCCTCCACCCTCATAGAGCGTGAGGCGAGGGGTAACTCCCAAATGGATATTCTCCATCCTGCCTTCCAGCAGTAGGATGGAGTCTCAGTGTACAGCTATGACTCTGTCACCAGGTGCATCTCATCACCCTGATTCCTGCTACCTTTAGGTGTTACTCCCTGACGTTCAGAATGACATGGACAAATGCCATAGAACAATTTGTGTTAATTCCAGTAATTGACCTCGTGCTCCAGGAACCCTCACCAACACTGGTCCATATAAAAGTCACTACGTGCTACTTGCAGAGCTCCTCACATTGGACAACTTTTGCAATTTTTCTACCTTCAGTAAAATGTAGATCTGCCAGAAGGTTCAGATCCGCCTTTGCATCACTCGTACAACGAGCCACGGCATCCACTTAGCCTTCACAGTCATTGTGGTAACAGGACTCTAAAAGGGAATGTCACTCATCAGTGTCGGAGCACATCCCAGCTGAAACATGAAAGCTTTCTGCTGCTATAAATGCTAAACAGATCCACAAATACAATGTCATACACACAGCCTCCTTCTTCTTTAGCCTCAATAAAGAGAAAATTGGAAGTCGGAGGCAGTGAGAAAAAAATAATGAATGCACCCATTTGGAAGATAGACGTATGTCTCACTATTAATTAACATTTTATGCATTTCCATGGAGATGCACCGTCCAAGTGGATATGGAATGTTGAGAAGTGGGTCGGAGTGGAGTCCATACAAGACGTAACATTGAACAGAGCTCATTTCGTGTTGTTTAGCATCCTCTGTCTCACTCTCTGTAAGTCAGCACCTCAGTGTGTACATGTTAAACGAAGTAGAATCTATTGTAGCTAAACTGTAGTCCCTAAATGCGAAACACGGACCAAGGTAGAAATGTGAATGGGTTAAACCGGAAACTTGATGTTTGTATGACTAATGTACTGTATGTTCCTCTGATTTCTTGAACATCCCCCCCCTCCCCCCATAGGCCACACTGTCCCTGCATGTCTCCTATATAGCTCCCCCAGGCATGGCACCTATTTTCCAGCCCCTTCCTCAACCAGAGCCCCAGCATGTTCCTCAGGAGCTGGACACCGTCACAGGTAGGATAGTTGTGTAACCTTTGTCATTCTGAGCTGTACTAGTGGTCATGAAGGGGATTGCAGTGTGATAAAACCACAGCAGTCTGGGCACACAGTGGCATTGTGCAAACAATTACAACATTCAGCGCTGAAATCTGTGTTTGTGCCAGACACATTCTGTGCATTTTCCGTTGCACTGTGGAATGACACAATAGTCAAACAGTGGTTTGGTACACTGTTTGCTGGTTAAAGTCACACAAATAAATTCTTGTTACATTAGAGATAGAGAATATGTCATTTTAAATATATAGGTAAGACAATAAAGGGCTTTGTTTTCTTCTGAAGGAATCACATCTGCAGTTCTAGACAGTGCTAAAGATGTTTCTGCTTTCTCTGTAGGGTTTCTCTTCTCTGTATGCTCTCCCTCTCTTTGGCGCCCATCTTCGTGGTGTGAGCTCTTCCGCATCCTGTCGCTTCCCTCACCTTTCTCTGCCTTGCAGTGTTTTCCATGGACACCATCGGGGAGGAAGACACAGAGAGCATGATCACCATGGAAACCACTGAGGACCCGGAGCCCGTGACAGGACCCCAGGGACCGGAGGCACCCACTTCCCCACCGAAGAAGACCCCCCCGAATATGTACCAGGGCATGAAAAAGAAGAAGCGTCAGCCAAACAGACCTCTGTTACCTAACAGACCCCAGGACCTACAGGTGTGTATTCATGTCACAGGAATGCATTTTGAACAGAAATTTGGACAAATTCATCTACCTACAAATTACACAAGCTTTAGCACATATTTCCACCAGGGTTTCATATGTGTAGATTTTGCATGTTCTTCCCGTGTCGTCATGCAGTTTCCTCCAGGTTCTCCGGTTTCCCCCCACAGTCCCAAAACATGCTGAGGTTAATTGGAGTTACCAAATTGCCAGTAGGTGTGCATGTGTGAGTGAATGGTGTGTGAGTGTGAGTGAATGGTGTGAGAGTGTGAGTGAATGATGTGTGTGTGTGAGTGAATGGTGTGTGTGTGTGAGTGAATGGTGTGTGAGTGTGAGTGAATGGTGTGTGTGTGTGAGTGAATGGTGTGTGAGTGAATGGTGTGTGAGTGTGAGTGAATGGTGTGTGAGCCCTGTGATGGGTTGGCGCCCCAATCTGGGTTGTTCCCTGCCTTGTGCCCGTAGCCCCCGGGATCAGCTCCAGACCCCCTGCAACCCTGAATAGGAGAAGCGGTTACAGAAAATGGATGCACGGATACATTTCGCCTATAATATTTCATACGTGTGGCTGACCTGCAAAGTGATTCTTCAAAATGATTTGATTGTTTCAATGAAGAGAAAAAAATTAACTTCAGCAAAAAATATAATCTGAGTTTGCATGTAAAATGTTATTTAGCACCATCTTGAGGTGATATCATATAAACACAATCATTTCCAGACAATTTATGTTTACATACATGTTGCAGGTTTTATTTTGTATGCATATGACATTTAATATTACTATTGTAACTGGAACTTTTTTCAGAATAAATTTTGAATGATTTCAGGCACGGGTGAGGATCATAGAAGCAAGACAGCTGCCAGGAGTCAACATAAAACCAGTCGTCAAGGTGACTATTGCAGGAAAAACAAAGACAACCCGGATTCAAAAAGGCAACAGTCCCTATTTTGATGAGGTAAACAACAATAGTCGATACACCAGTTGCATTGCATTGAATTACAAGTTTAAGAAATATATGTATTTTACAAATGTACTCACAACCATAGTATTCATGCTGCAGTTTCTGTTTTGCATTCTTGCTGTGCTGCAGTAATTGATGGTGATGCTTTGTGATGTTTCAGACCTTCTTCTTTAACTTCTTTGAGAGTCCCTCAGAGCTTTTTGATGAAACCGTCTTTATCACAGTAAGTCTGTCAGTTCCCCGTCTTTATATATATATAAAGATATATTATATATATATGTGTGTGTGCCAGTTTTTTAAAATGAAATAAACCACTTAACACAAACTTCCTGCTGAGACCCTAACTAAATGTTTTGATATTAGCTTAGAATTCCAGGATAAAGTCATAACCTACACTCTCACGTTGTCTACAAACAGTATAGAATATTATTGTTCTTTATTATAAATATTTCATCATAATATTGTCCCATGTTAGTATAAAATTGATGCACGCATTAATTCGATCGAAGAAATAAAAAGGTGTAATGACTTCAAAATTAATGCAATGCATTAGCGTGATAAATGTCCCAGAACTAATAATCGTTTTTACAGAACTCATAGAAGGACATTTAGAAATTACCACAGAATCAGTCAAACTAGATAGAAAGTAAAGCAAAAAACAGTAGCCTAGCATACACAGACAACAAATGAAAAAAAAGATTATTCGCTGTTTTATTTAAATACTGATCTTGTGCCATGAATAACTTATCAGTTCTATAAGTAGGAACATCATGCTTAGAGTGTGTAGCTTGATGGTTAAGGGAAGGTTCTCCAGAAGCCTGAGAGCTGTGTTCCACACTAGCAGCCTACTGACTGCTTCCCTCCTTTACTCTTAGGTGTTTAACTCCAAGTCCCTTCGCACTGATTCTGTGATTGGAGAATTTAAGGTAACATCGTCCCATTGTGAACTGGAGGTTTGACCAGCATTTGTCTTCCTTTTGTAGTAAAGCTGTCCTCCCAGTCCATATGACGTGCTTATCGTTATGATCCAGAACTTGTGTGGTCATTACCTTTCATGATTAGTACAGGTCTGGTGAAGCATATGTTTTGCATGGAAGGATATTAATCATTTGCTGTTATTCATCTACAGCTTGATGTGGGAACAATATACACAGAAAACAGTAAGCCACTCATTTTTAAAAAAATATATAAAATTAGATCATAAAAACAAACCAACAAGTGATTTTGAGTCTTATTTTGATCAGATACTTTATTGGACTAATTATTATTTTCACAGGCTGCTCAGTATCTTTACAGACTAGGCTAAAATGTTAATGCTGTGTATGTCACGTTTCACAGCATTTCACTGTGAATTGTCTTTCATTGACCTCTGTGGTGGATAATGTATTATTGTTTATTGTCTTTTGCTGGTTTTAAGTTCTAAATAAGCATGTCTGCCACATGAATACAAAAATTGCCATATGAATATGAAAATATTCTATAGTGATATGGAAACACAGCACGTAAATAAGATTAGAAATCTAGCAAAAACTATCATGAATACATGCAAGCAGCATGGTGTTTAGCACTGCTTCACCCTCGTGTAGAGTGATCACCTTCTGTGTGCTTTAGGACATGCTGATCACCTTCTGTGTGCCTTAGGGCACCCTCATGTAGACTGATCACCTTCTGCGTGCCTTAGGACACCCTCATGTAGAGTGAT